TTGGATTTTTTTTTGGTATTTCTATGTGTACAAAAACATCGCTGAAAAGTTAAGGAAATCCTATGTGCATGACATCGTAGTTTACGTTCATTCGTCGCCATTTGCAAGCTGACTTTACAGGAAAAAGAGCGCAGAAGAGAACCCATGTAAACACCCTGTTGGACTCGTATGCGCACACTTCCCGCGAGAAAACACGCCAGGGAAAAGGTTTGCTCATCGAGCTTACATGGAAACGGTCCCATTACATTTGCAATAGGCCGATCTATTTTGCCGGCGGAAACGCGTACATGGAAAGTCTAGAAATAGCCTAATTTATGTTCAAAGGACGTTAGACCTAACACGGTGGCTGAGTAACACTGAAGGTCCCGTGTTCGATCCCTTTGTTGACCGAAAAAGTTCATCTGGATATTCTGACGTGGTTATCCTTTGTCATAGGAAAACTTATAGTCGTTCGAAAAGGACACAAACGAGGTCCTGTTTGCACATTGGTGTGGACGTAAAACATCCCTTGGCAGGTGGAATTCAATATAAGAGTAGGCCGTATCGCCGCTGTCCGGGCAATATTTCACTCACAGCCCACTGATAGGTGTTTAAGCCCGTTTGTGCTCTTGTTTGTTTTTTTCCACCAACAAATCTGTCACTACATTTGTGTCAATAGCTTTGAAATCTACAACAATAACTGAGTCATTGAGGTATTATGCCATTGGGAGAGAGAAAAATGGGGTTTAACGTCAACTCGACACACATTAGGTCATTTCGGGACTAACACATTGTTCAATTTTATTTTAATAATTCGCTTGCGCGCAGGGTAGGTTTGTTTAGCAGTCTCAGGAAACCGGAGGACCCGGAGAAGACCCACGAGGTTGGACAGGTGACCTACTCTTTGTCACGTACAACCCGGGATCGAAACCACACCAGTTGACTCAATGACGACAGACCTTATGATACAGCGTGCACGTGCTAACTATTCGGCTATTCCCCCGCCCCATGCCATTGATAGTTTTACCGTTGATATAGGATAGCCTATAGCTTTCTAAACTAGTAGATCGGTGTCGCTTACACCCTGGGAATATCAATTAACCACTTGTTTGGTTGATATTCCCGGATAGTGGTGAATATAGACCTAGCCGCTTGGGGATTAAACAAACCAAGTCATTTGATCTTCGGTCCGATGTAATGGCCCAGAGAATTATATATTCTGATATTTTCTCACATAGGTGTGACTTGATCAGATTGGATTTTTATTAACGTGGTGGGAGCCCCGACATGGCCATGATCGGTGATCGATGATGGAGTGTGAATTATAATTAATTATTGTACTATTATTATCTACGGGACAGAATTTTAAAGTACCTCGTTTTTCTTTTATTGTCAAAAAAAAAATGTATATATCTGTATTCATGCAGATTGACTTCACATGCGTAATGGAGTGAATGAATGACTACGGTGTTGATAAATTAAACAATATGATATACATACATTTACATTGGGTCCTATACTTCTTTGAGAAACATGACTAGCTTTATGACTGGGGTTCTCGCTTCAAGATAAAACTGTGTGTTAAAACGTATGACCGATGCGAGAGCGACATACTATTTCGGTTTGGGAGATGCAGTAGCGATAGCAGAGATATTTTGTGTATACAGACGGAACATCTGCATGGCTGTTTCACTGAGCGAAATATTTGGTCAAATGGCTAAAGTTTACAACAACAATTTACAACAATTCGCTGTTGTCGTTATTTTCTTCATAAGTTCGGTAGCTGACATGTTAAATTCCAACAAAAAATACAGAGTGGCCCTAACATCGTATTTTTCAACACGCATAATCTTGTGTTTTACCGATACGAAATTAATCTTCACTTTTGGGGTTTTAAACTTGTGTTCTCTTATATTTGATAACGTCGTGTATTGTATTTTAATGGGATATTGTTCCTCTCACCAAGAATTGGTTTCATAGTATATTCAAAATTTTACCTAATGACCAGACATGACTTTGGGTAGGTTATTATTCATGAGCTGCTGTTAATCTAACTCTCCGACTCATAAAGTGTTATAGTCATATCAAAAATAAGACCTACAAAAAGTTATGTAATTTGCCATGCCCTTGCTGTGGTCTGGGTTTAACGTGTAACTATATCTGAACATGTTTGAAAGCAAATTATTTATAACCGACATTGTTTATTGGTATTATTCATCACAGCATCAAACTGGTATTTTAGAGGACAATGTTAAGATCATATAATTTATTTTAATCTAGATTAATAAGAAACCCAGAGCAGCTGATTCTTGGTCCATTGTGCAAAACTCATATACATGTCCCGTGCACGAAACTAACCGTAACCGCAGACTTCTCTGGTGAACGGAAAGGTAATGATTCTCATTTTTCTTGGAAACAGCTAGACACTTTAATCAAATCATTCTAGAAAACGACCTACTAAATGGACCAAAGCAATTTTTTGCGAACAGTATGTATACACATTAGTGATTAATTCATCACAATTCCAAGACATTACGAGAAGGTTTAGAGTCTGTGCACAGTCTATACATCAGTATCTGGTGTGTCCACCGCGATTGTCAATAACAGCAGCGTCTGTACATGGAGTGGACCAGACGATTGATGAACGCCATTGGCACCAGGAACCACACTCTCAGGAAAGCTTGGCGCAATCCATCGGCTGTGTTTGGTCTCGGTACGACGTTATTAAGTCTCCTCTGAATTTCTTCCCAAAGATGTTCAATCGGGTTTAAGTCGGGACTAAGTCCAGAGTAACTCTGTCGGTGTGGGTACGGGCGTTGTCATGCTGGTAAATGTTGTTTCGATGACGTGCGAAATGTGTTATTAGGTGGGGTCTGAGAGCTTGATAGATGTAGCGCACTGCTGTGATGGCACCTCCTCTCACGGGACCATGATTTTGGAACACCACAGGACCTACTCTCTGGTTCAGGCCGATTCCACCCCAAACCATTATGTTTGGACCTCCCTATGAGTCTCGTTCCATGACACAATGGTCAGAATAACGCTGGCCACGTCACGCCATATTCTGGTCCTGCCATCTTCAGTTGATACGCAATACCGACTCTCATCTGTGAACAGAACAGTTCTCCATTGACTGTGTCGCCAGTTCTGGTGTTGTTGGACAAACTGTAGACGTTCACGTAGATGGCGAGGGGCGAGGATCGGTCCACGGTAAGGCCTACGACAATGATGTTCTCTCTGGTGAGACTTCGACGCGCTGTATCGGTACTGATAGGTTCCCCTCTGCCTGGCGTACTGTCTCAGATGCCTGTGTGAACGGATTCAGCACGTGCTGTCGTACAACATGGCGGTCTTGGGACTAACATATGGTTGAACCTTTTTTTAACTATTTCGCTTGCGCGAACGGGTCTTTAGCAGTGGGAGGACCCGGAGAAAACCCACGAGGATGGACAGGCGACCTTACACCTTGGCACGCACAACCGGGGATTCGAAACCACGCCAGTTGACTCAATAACAGACCTTATGATACAGCGCGCACGCGCTAACCATTCGGACATCCAATACCCTGGTGTTGGTGGCCCGAAAGCGTTGCTGAAGCCTGTAGATGGTCCGAACATTGACCTGGAAGTGATTGGCAACGGTTTGGGCAGTGTTGCCAGCGTCAAGTCTTCCAAGCGCCTGGTTCCTGTGAGCCGTCTTGGGTCGTGGCATACTGCTGACGTTGTAGTGTGAATGATTCAACCAGGTATGGGGGTGCATTTTATAGGGCTGGTCCCGGGGTGAACAGCGCGTGCAGCATGAGTTACATGAAAATCATGGAGAACACATTACTGTCTCAGAAGTCAGAAAGTTATGACGGATTTCAAAGAATCAAGTAGTATTCAGTATGGAAGGATATCGCTGCCAATATTAAATGCTCTGCGACAATGTCGTTTCCATTGATTATATGTAAAAAGTACAACGTACAAAGTCACAATACCGGTAATGATATATATATAGAGAGAGAGATGGGGTTTAACGTCCACTCGACACAAACTAGGTCACTTCGGGACTAACGCATGGTTCAATTTTATTTCAATAATTCGCTTGCGCGTATGGGTCTTTATCAGTGGGAGGAAACCGGAGGACCCGGAGAAAACCCACGAGGTTGGACTGGCGACCCTAGTCCTTGCCACGTACAACCGGGGAATCGAAACCCCTCGCGCGCATGCTAACCATTCGGCCATCCACCCCCCCCCCCCTGATTTCCTGTTATAGTGTCGTGAATATCCTTGTTCTGGTTTATAGTGTGCCAGGTTTCCGTATATGTTAATAAGTCACGTGATATCCTACATTTGCATATGCAAGTTGATGCTGTGCGAAAGTTGCTATGCAGAAAGCGTGAAGGACAAATGGGATGTGGCAGAGCGCAAATGTAAAATGTAATGAGAGAAATGTAAAATGTAGACACGTCAAAAAAAGCATTTTCCCACAAAACATGTGTCATTTAACACTTAACATTTGACGTTTTACATTTAACTCTTGCCTTAGAGGTATTTTGACTTTATCAATATCGGTATTAGAACTTTATACATTGTACTTTTTACATATAATCAATGGAAACGACATTGTCGCGGAGCATTTAATATTGGCAGCGATACCCTTCCATAATTCAGAAGTCGGATTATATATCTGACAATTCAAAAACGTAATTGCATTACAAGCCATACCTGGCCTTTCTAAGTGATCTGTCAAGCTCAAAACGTCCGAAAATCCAGAAAATAGTCGCAATTTTGAGTTCTAAAGATATACATGTATAGTTTGATAAATACTAAATTCATCAAGTATGACTGGACATTTTGTACGTTCATTGTTCCTGATTGGCAGAATCTATACGAATTCCAGTCTTATTTCTACGAGTACAAACTATCCCCTGGACTGATATATCTAAATATTTATCAGGCCTGGAACAAAGGATATTAAACACAATATTCTTGTTTTAGAAATACAATTTTATTGAAAACAAAACTATGATTGGCAAGACTACTTCCCCGAAAAGATATGTTTAGAAAATATATTCACCATTTTGTATAGTTAACATCTGCGATACCCATTACAGGGTATTATATCATGTACAATATACTTCATGTTAGGTTTTTATTAATGCAATATGCATAATCGTATTAGCTTAGGTTTGTACAAGTCCTTATGAATCCGTTTTCTTTATTGACACGGTTGGTCCAGAACAGTAGGACGTTAAAGCCTATTTTATTCACCCCTAAACGCCATTTGAACAGAATGTTTCTTTTATTTTAAATCAAAGAATGTATAAATCAACTTGTAATGAAATGTGGTTTTATGGCACGTCAGCACCAACCGGGCTATATTGCGCCAAACATATGGTGAATATTTCAAGACAGGCTAAATTATATCACAGAAAAAGTTATATGCATAAATAGAAACAATATCACAGTAGTAACTAAAATTAAAGTAAAATAAATCTTTTTATGCATATTAATATTTAAAATACCAAAATGGAATGATAATATATACAATTAAAATTTATGATAAAATCCTGTCTCTTTTAAAAAGTCTAACACTTTATTAAATAAACCCGGTTGGGCAAACAGATATAAATCAACTTGGGCTAATCACACCAATGCTTTAAAAAAGAAAGCGATAATAGAGCGCAAAGCCATTGACAACAAGAACAGCATCAATTTAAATCATATAATCATTAGGAACACAAATATTCAACCAACCGATTGTGTTAGAAGCATTGGTATATATTTTGACTCAGCACTAAATACGTAGGCAAAAAAAGCAAACTGGAAAGATTCGACCATTTATAGACCTTGATACCGGAGAATTACTGATTAATGCTTTTATGTCATCTTTTGATTACTCGTTATTAAACCCCATTGATCAACTACAAAAAAAATTCAGAATGAAGGTGCTAGAATTGGGACCAGGACTAAAGTATCGAAGAATCATATTATGCGCGTTTTAAAAGATCTAGAAGACTGATATACGCCATGACAAAGACGTCTACTAAAAAAAATCAATCACTATCTTTATATTTTAAAATCCACGACCTATTAAATTTCTCTAGAAGAGTGGACAAAGCTTCTGACACAAAAGAAACAGCCGCAGCCCCAGGATGCATTGCAGCTTCTACCACTTTGGACGCTACAGTCTTGATTATCTCGTCACCTTCTTCAACTTCTTTCTTGGTTTCTCGGCATGGATTTCTTTGATTGATGTCTACCATTTTCCCAATAGTTTCAACTAACTTTAATATTGTTTTCGACCGAGAGTCATCACTGTCGCTGCCATCGACTATCTTCTGTTGCAGTGTTTCGAGTTTCTTTTCCAATTTTATTTTCTTATTGTCTTCCAGTAGCCGAGATCTATTTTCTTCCAATTGTTTAAGTTTGTCTTCGTCCTTCTGCCTTTGGTCTCCCTTAGTGATACGCTGCTCGTCCTCTTCTTTCATCTTTTGAGTTAGACATTGTTTTTTTTCTTCAATTTCGTTTAACTGCCGGTCATTTTCATCAATCGTCTTTTGTAGTTCTTGAGTTAACTTCAGAAATCGCTCTCCATCCGTTCCTTTCAAATTTTCTTTTGCTTCTTCTAAAATTTGCTGTTGTTCTTGCCAGAGTTCTGTTTGCGTGCATTCCTTTTCACTTCGAATTTCTTTTGTTCTAACCTCTAGAACTTCAGTAGCTTTTTGATACGCGTCGTTCGTGTAGTAACCTCCCTCGTTTTCACCAATAGTTTTATAGATTAAGTCCAGAATACCGTCAACATCTTCTCGCAGTTCATTTTTATCTGCCTTGTTGTTGATAAACGCGAACCTGTTATTGCACCGTTCCAGTAGATTCTGCAAGACAGGTGATGAATTCTTAATGAAATTATTGAGTGATTTAGAAGCACCCAAATCATCCTTGCGAGTAAAAACGATGATGACGTGCTGTATAACCTGTTCGCCAAACATCTCCTGCAAAATCGCCACAGAATCGGCTTCTTCTTGCGTAAATCGTACGGCGATGGAAATGACAAAGATAAAAATATGGGGACCTGGTTCTAGTAGACCGATACTGCGTAAAATTTCCTTAATGGTTTGTTCGTTAGGATCTCTCGTGTCGAAAAGCCCCGGTGAGTCAACGACAAATAAGGTGATTTTCTTGTCTAGTTGCCTTTCTGCAAACTGACATCGTTTAGTAACTGAATCTGACCTAGTTTCAGACACGAAAACCTCCTCATTAATAAGATTATTACCAAGATGGCTTTTTCCTGTTCCAATTTTTCCAACAAGCACTATTCGTAGCTTGCCTGAAAAACATCAAGTAAAATGAACGACTTTAATTCGGATAATCGGTAACTAGCTTTTTTTGTAACAGTAATCATTAATTGTAGAGTAGGAACCAGGCTATTTTAAAGTTCAGCCGTTTGACTTCCTACAGACTACGAACAACAATTTTATACCCATACTTGATTGTTATGCCACGTTTGACACAGCAACGCCAGGAGTCATTCTTATTTATATGGTTAAAACATAAACATACAGTGTACGCAATAAATGATGAAATGAGATTTAAGGTCCTACTTTTCTGCAGAACATATTTTCAGTTGCATAAATATGAGGGAGTAACTTTGTAGAGACCACTATGATTATTTATTGCACACTGGAACTTTTACTTGCTAATTGTAAGGGGGGGGGGGCATCTAATTTTGAAGGCGAAAGACGGTACTATTACAACTTAACATAATAAAGGCCAAATGCTTTAAAGATGTCTTGAAATAGTCTCGCATACATAACAGCTTTTTTATGATTACATAATGATAATAACGACAATATGACACACAATGAAGTTTTGATTGGCACCTTCGAGTAAACACAATCGGGCGGCCAAATGTGTGCAACTTGGATTTGACTTTAACAATTCTAACGACGCCTACTTTATTCACCATGATTTTTACTACTCCAGCCATTACGGTGAGCATTTTGCACAAGACTGACAGTCTTACTACACTGTCGTGGCACTCAAATACAACATACTTCTAGAAGTTCTATGCTTGAGCAGTTCATCACGTCATGTGATCAGCTGTGATCGACAGAAATTGGTATATATATTTTAAGTGCGAAACATAAATACAAATCTATTTTTAAACATACATTATATAAGAGATAAATCTGCCCATTGCAGGACTTCCTGAAATGTTATATAAACTATTAATTAGACATTTATTAACATGAAAAGACCTTAATCAACTCTCGATACCATAAAATTCCCTGGATTTTCGCTGGATTTGAATCCGATCTGCTGCTCAACGCTCGTTCATTTTTAAATCCCAAAATGGATAATCGAGACTATTTTTATTATCGCTAATATCTCGGTTCAGAGTTGAGCAATGTAACTGAAATTTGCAGCATAATTCACTTACACTATCTAGTTTTTAACTATTATAATGAAACCTGCTAGCTTATTTTCTAATCTTCAATAATGTATCCTTAATTAAAACCATGAAATGATACATACCTTTAGGAGCGAGCAGATATTTACCACACCTGTAATAAAACATACGAGGGGAAGTCAATAAGTTCATAGAAGTGAGTATTAATACACCCTTGAAGAAATCATCGTTGATGTCATTATTGAGATAGACAAGACATAAACAACCCTTCCCGATCATTTACTTAAGATTTACAGCCTGTTGAACACAGGTACCCTCCTGCAATCATGGAAAGTTCTAAAACTGAGCATCGTGCGGTTATCAAGTTTCTCAAGAAAGAAGATGTGAATGCGACCGAAATACATAAACGTATGGTCAATGTGTATGGGAAGGAAGCCCCTCAATATTCTATTGTTGCAAAATGGTCAGCTGAGTCTAAGCGGGGTCGCAGCTACTTGGACGATGACCCACGGCCAAGAAGGCCTGTTGAAGCCATTACAGATGATGGTTGCATGGATACAGGGCTTAATCATGTCCGATCATAAGCACTCTTCTGCACCATAGAAGTTCAGAACTCAGCCTTCTGCTGGCAAGATCATGGCGACCATTTTCTGGGATTCGGGGCGTGATACTTATAGACACCGCCTAAAACTACAATAACAGGAGCCTACTATGCTTTTTTGTTGAAGCAATTGAGAGCGGCGATCAAAAAGAAGAGGTGCGGCATATTAACTGCTGGAGTTATGCTTCTTCATGACAACGCTCCAATGCAAAAGAGTCATATTGCACAGACTGCACTTCAACAATGTGGCTTTGAACAACTTATTCTATCTGTTTCGCAATTTGAAATCACACTTGCGTGGTACAAGATTTGGCGATGGTGATGAACTCAAGGCAGCTACTGAGGCGTGGCAGAGGGGGCAGTCAGAAGACAAATGAAATGAAATGAAATGGGGTTTAACGTCCTACTGTTTTGCTCCTAAACTGGGCTAATGAAGACGGGCATACGCCATACAGTGTGCTATGAGGGAAATTTTGCCCGGGCAGCGGCGCTACGGCGTTCTCTTATATCGAATTCCAACTGCCAAGGGATCTTTTACGTGCACGCCAATTTGTACACGGGACCTTGGTTTTTCGTCCCATCCGAACGACTAGACAGCTGCATCACTGACAAGGGGAACCACGCCGGAAAATCGGGATGAACTTTCTCGGCCAATGCAGAGATCGAACACCCGACCTCTAGGCTAGCGAGCCAGCGTCTTACCCACTTAGCCACGTGATCCCCACAGTCAGAAGGCATTACCGCAAAGCATACACAATCTCAAAGACAAATGGGCAAAGTGCATCGAGGTCCAGGGAGATTATATTGAAAAATAAAATCAATATCACAACCACTGGCTTCTGTTTTATATCCACTTCTATGAACTTATTGACTTCCCCTCCAATTCAAGTTTTCTTGGAGGCGAGTAAGACGTTGACTCAACCTGGAACTCACGCGTTCGATCCTAGTGTTGGACAATGTTACGGCTTGGTTCCCACTTGTTAGTGGTGCAAGCGTCAAGGTCTGGTAAGGGACAACGTACAGTCATTCGGATGGTATGGTAAACAAAAGTCCAGTATACACACTGGCGGTCACGTAAAAGAAACCATGACAATGTATTTCGTATACCCGTCTTTATTAGCGAGGTCAGTGCAAAACAGTGGGACGTTAACCCATATTCCATTTCATTTTCATAGGAAGTGTTTTTTAATAAGCACAGAAAAGATTAACCAAAAGAACTGCCGTGTCATTTTAATGTACCATTAGAACGTATTTTGGTTTCAAGTGGTGGTGCAGTTAGGACTATAGAATGTCGTAGGTTTGATTCACGGTACGAGTCTACATTTTTCAAGATATTTCAAACTGTGTTCTCATGTGTACGGCTCATGGGCTGAAACTGAATGTCGTTTTGATGAATGTGCACGCAATATGCATATTCCAACCGAGGAGAATATAAAACAGACACGCAAAATCACATTGAACAAAAAAGCACAGACACATATCTTAGGTTAAACGTGACAAGACATTAAACTCTGTTTCGGTGTAAGATACAATATTACTTACTTATTTTCTAATTCGCTTGTTCTTTTTTTTTGAGCCCGAATCACTTTCTTGTCTTTGGGTGGCAAAAATGTTTTACCTGAAATACGTAGACATCCTCAAGATTTACAATAGAACACAACATTGTGAAATAAATGGGGTTTTACACTTGCCAAACATTGTAGCTATGTTTGCTGGGTTACTATAACTAGGATGTCTAGGGATAGATCCCAGCCGAGAAGGTTCTTGGGTTTTTCATGTGATTTTTCCACGTCTTTACATTGGCGTGCCTTTATCCGGAGCGATTTGTTTAGACTTGTAACATTTCCAGTCAAATTTAATGTGCATTTCAGTATGGTTTGTAGTTGCCACTTGTGTAATAGTCATTCACAATAGTTTTGTCAAGAGCTATATACATAATACATATATTATGTGTGTAGTCACGATATTTTTTAATGTTCTAAAATTAAAATATTGAAGATCTTAAATTATTGGGATCACCCGACAGAGCGGAACGCTACTGTACCAATCGCACATAATATTTAAAGTCAAAACAAAGTGCAAGTTTATTCAGACAACTAGTGGTACCAATCCCATATATGAAACACAGTCAACCTATATACATACTTAAAACATCAGAGAACAGTTTAATGCATTTAAATTTCTATATCTATATCTAACCACACATTCATGAACTTCCATGAACCCACTTGTTTCCAAGTTGTTTGGGATTACATCAACAAACACTGAAGGAAACAATCGCACTTGGAAATTACAGTCTGTCAGTAAGATTTTCATAAAACCAGTGAAGTAGAAAGTAGGACATCAAACTGTACCCTTATACATTTTACAAATAACAATATACTAACTATTCCAGCCCCTACATAAAAATAACAGTTTATGTACAATTCGTACGGATAACTCAATAATAAATACATATTACACATTTCCCAAATAGTTACTTAAAGGACAATATTGGTGTCAGCCATTATCACGAGAAAACGAATAAAAAAGGAAAATATCCGCGTATTACCATGTATTATTAAGTATAAAATGAATAAAAACAAAGGCTATTTTACGGAGCTACGAAGCCCCTTAAGCGCACAATTCCACTCTTATATAATTATTGTGTTTAAACGAAATGTTAATTCGTTTATAACAAAATATTAATTCGTTATAACGAAATATCAATTCGTTATAACGAAATATTAAATCGTTATAACGAAATATTAATTCATTTAAAGTAATATTATTCGTTATAACGAATTAATCATTCGTTATAACGAAATAGTAATTCGCTTAAACGAATTAATTATTTCGTTATAACGAATTAGTATTTCGTTATAATGAAATGAAATGTTGTTTAACGGCACGTCAGCTCCAACCGGGCTATATTGCGCCAAACATATGCTGAATCTAACGAGACAAATTAAAACGATGTCACATAAATGAATTTATATATGTAAATAAAAACAAATATCACAGAAAATATAATTAAAAATAAACATAACAAATCTTTTACATATATAAATATTTAAAACGATATACATGATTAAATATATACAATTAAAATTGAGAATAAAAGTTTGTCTCTTTTAAAAATGTTAGTACTTTATCATATAGCTCCGGTTGAGCAAATAGCTGGCGTATTGACTGGCAACGGTAATATTTAGTTCTAATATACTTGAGATGATTGCACTCAATCAAGATGTGTTTTACTGTCAAAGGAACATGACAGTGAACACATTCTGGTTGAGGCTCTCGCTTCAAAATGAAAATATGAGTTAAAAAGGTATGACCAATACGAGAGCGACACAAAACAACTTCATCCCTCCTGTTGGTTCTATTGGAGTTTGGCCAGTCTCCTAAGAGAGACTTAATGTGATGAAGTTTGTTTGTGTCTGCAAGATCCCAAGACCGTTGCCAGAAGTCATATATAAATAATGTAATGGACGTTTTAAAATCAGTGAAAGGTAAAAGAAATTGTGATATGGGAAGATCTAAAGCAGACTTGGCAGCTAAGTCTGCTTGATCATTCAGTTTAATATCAACATGACTGGGGAGCCAGCAAAAGACGGTTAAACTCGTGTGATAGTAGCAGACGATAAATGTCTGCTACTGAAGGGTGTACAAGCTGCTTATTGTTTATTGCCTGTAAAGAGGACAAAGAATCAGTAAATATAATGTGTTTTAAAGATGAAGAGGATTTGATATACTCCAAAGCCTGAAAGATGGCCTGGAGTTCAGCAGTAAGACAAAACAAAAGAAATCACAGAAATATATTTATATCCATAAATAAAAACAAATATCACAGATAATATATAAAATTAAAAATAAATATCAAATACTTTATGAATATAAACAATTAAAAAGAAAGAAGATAGGATACATATATACAGTTAAAACTTATAATAAAATTTTGTCTCTTTTAAAAAGTTTAGTATCTCACAATATAGCTCCGGTTGAGCAAATAAATGATGTAATGTCTGGCAACGGTAATAGTTAGATCTAATATTTCCAAGATACTTGCACTCGATCAAAATGTGCTTCACCGTCAAAGGAACATGACAGTGTTCACATTCTGGTTGAGGCTCTCGTTTCAAGATGAAAAAGTGAGTTAAAAAAGTATGACCAATGCGAGAGCGACACAAAACAACTTCATCCCTCCTGTTGGTTCTATAGGAGCTTGGCCAATCTCCTAAAAGAGGCTTGATATGATGACGTTTATTTGTGCCTGCAAGATCCCAAGACCGTTGCCAGCGGTCATAAATAAAATGATTTATACATGATTTAAAATCTTTATATGGTATTAAAAAGGGTGATTGGGGAAGATCTAAAGCAGCTTTGGCAGCAAAGTCTGCTTGAACATTCCCCCTTATATCAACGTGACTGGGGAGCCAGCAAAAGACAATGCCCTTGCTGCTCAACTCGTAAGATAGTAGCAGACGATAAACATCTGCTACCAATGGGTGTTCAAGCTGTTTATTGTTAATTGCTTGAAGCGAGGACAGAGAATCAGTAAAGATGATGTGCTGTAGTAAATGTGATGATTGAATGAACTCCAAAGCCTGACGAATGGCCTGGAGCTCAGCTGTAAATATTGAAGCAGCAGGTGGAAGACACACAGAAATGGTCCCAGTTGGCGTCACTGTAGCCGAAGCCACCCGATCACCATCTTTAGAACCATCTGTGTAAATAGGAGCATAATCACCATATTTAGACCTTAGCTCTCTAAAAAGAGATTGGAACACCGTCGAGCTAGTATCTCTCTTCTTATGTTGAGTCAGATCGAAATCGATCTTTGGGAGAGATATAGCCCACGGCGGAGACCTAAAGAAAGGGGTATTCGCAATACTGTCAAGGCTGATACCAGCCTCCGACATGAGGGGTTGTATGCGAATACCAAATGATGGAATAACCTTAGTCTTTCGCAGATATAAATGTTCATGATAAGGTCTAAATATGGTATTATATGAAATATGATTTGGAAGTGATGCAATTTTCGTAGCAAACTGCAGGGCAAGTTTATCACGTCTGTTGTGCAATGAGAGCTCGTGCGCCTCGACGTATAAACTTTCCACTGGAGATGTACGAAATGCTCCTAAACTGATTCTAAGTCCCTGGTTGTGTATGGTGTCGAGCTCTTTGAGATAGGACTCGCGGGCAGACCCATACACAATACACCCATAATCGAGTTTTGATCTTATTAATGCTCGATATAATCTGAGCAAGACCTTGCGGTCTGCTCACCAGTCAGTATTTGATAGGACTCTCAATATGTTGAGGGCTTTCAGACATTTCTTTTTTAGGTTTTTAATGTGGGGGATAAATGATAATTTCTTATCAAATATCAGTCCCAGAAATATGGTTTCATCCACAACTGGAAGGCGGTTGCCATCCAAGAAAAGTTCTGGATCAGGATGCAAACCTCGTTTCTGACAGAAATGCATGCAGACAGTCTTGGATTTCGAAAAACGAAATCCATTTTCGGTTGCCCATTGTTGAAGTGAATTCAAACAAAGCTGCAACTTCCGTTCGATTATCCGCATGTCTGTAGAACCATAGCACATCTGAAAGTCATCAACATAGAGAGCCCCGTTTGTACCTGGTTTAAGGCACGCTGGGATAGTATTAATTTTTATCGCAAAAAGAGTTGGAGATAAAATACGTCCCTGTGGAACCCCCATTTCCTGAGGAAATGGGTCAGAGAAGATTGATCCCAGTCGTACCTTAAATGACCTATCTTCCAGGAAATTTTTAATGAAGATAGGTAAGCGACCTCGTAGGCCTAGGTTATGGAGGTCGCGCATGATACCGTGTTTCCATGTAGTATCATAAGCTTTCTCCAGATCAAAAAATATTGCGACTAAATGTTGCTTCTGGATGAAAGCGTCCCTGACAAACGTTTCAAATCTAACGAGATGATCAAGAGTGCTCCTTTGGGACCGAAATCCACATTGGAGGTCAGTTATAAGGTTGTTGGACTCAAGGTACCAAACAAGCTTCGATTGATCAATCTCTCCATGGTTTTGCAAATACAGCTAGTGAAACGGTGAAACTTTCGATAAATCCTTAGAGGGACTCTCAATCAAGAGAAACCTCGGCCAAGATTTCAATACCTTATTTGAAATATTAAATATATTAGAAACGTCCTCTGAATTAGGACGTTTCTTGTTTTGATTTTTATTTATTGGGGTTGGGGGACTGGGGAATCCATGGAGTATTATTTTTTTTATATTTCACCCCTTGTCGTCCCCCAGGTTACTGCCCTGCCTACCAGGGGGGGGGGGACTAGCACGGGTCACCAGTGCAATTCGGATAAGGGAAGATCTAAGGCAGACTTGGCAGCCAAATCTGCTTGGTCGTTCCCTGTTTTATCCATTCGACTGGGGAGCCAGCAAAGGACAATCCTACTAATGGGTGATCAAGCTGTTTGTTTTTTATTGCTTGTAATGATGACAAAGAATCAGTAAAAATGATATATTTTAAAATAGATGATGGTTGAAGGAACTCTAAAGCCTGAATACTGGTCTGGAGTTTAGCTGTAAAGATGGAAGCAGCAGATGGAAGGCGGACAGAAATGGTTTCAGATCGTGTCCCGGTAGCCGAA